CTTCAAGGCGACGGTGGCGTCCAGGCTGGACCGAAGCCAGGGACAAGACACAAGTTGGAAGCCCGGCTCCCAGGCGCGGGGTTGAGGGACCAGGCGCCGGATCGAGGGAGCCATGGTGTCCGCTGGGAGGAGGGCCAGCGTGTGGCCGCCCCGCCCCGCCCAGAGCACACAGACCCGCCCTTGCGGTCAGAGGCCCCCAAGTCACAAAGACCCAAGGGTCACACCCTGTCTGTCCCCCAGCTACCCGACCCAAGACGGCCTCTCACAACACCCAGGCCTCCACTGAGAGCCCCACAGCCGCAGGGCCCCAGCAAGACACTCCCACCCAAGCCTAGACGCTGTGGGCAGAGCCCGGCCCCCCCAGGTGAGGGGGGTCGAGTGACCGACCAGGGTGGCTCTCAGAGGCACAGGGCGTGCCTTTGTGCCCCCAGGATCACTGGTGGTCTGACCCCACATCCAGACCACCCTGGGACCCACCCTTCCTCCAGTCCTTGGTTTGGCCTATTAGGGAGTAGCTTGGATTCCTGCCCTCACTGTACCCCAACTTTCCAGAACCTAGAATTCGGGGTCACTTAAAAGCTCATTCAGCCTCCGGGGCTCGCGATGACCCTGTACTGTCAAGAGGTTTTCACGGCGGGGGTTTTGGGATTTCCATTACTCTTTCCTCTGAGACCGCGATGCGTGGGCTGGCTGTTAACTGTTGGCAACAGTCTAAACCACCCACCAGCGAGTGGATTCCTCCCCTTGCCGGGACTCCTTTGTAACCTTCACAGGAGCAGGCAGCCTCATCGGCCTTGCAAAGAGCCGCTGGTGGGCTTGAACCACTAACCTTGCAGTTAGCAGCCCAATCGATGCCGCCAAGCATCCTTCTGTACCTCCAGGGCCTCTACAACCTGTCACCGTGGAGCCCACGGGGGTCCCAACGCCGGAACCTTTATTGGAGTAAATACCCTGTCTTCCTCCTGCAAGGCGGCTTGTGGTTTCAAACTGCTGACCTTGCAGTTAGCACACCAAAGTGTAACTACTCCCTTAAAGAGTCTCAGAAGCTCGCAGGGGTAGTTCCGCCCTGTCCTGCAGGGTCTCTATGAGGCGGCATCTACTTGATGGCAGAACTTGGAGTGGTTTGGGGCGATCTCTATGGAAGCAGGCGGCCCCATCTTTCTCCCACAGAGCAGGAGCTGGTGGGTTTGAACACTGCTTCGGTTTGAAGCTGGGCCTTTCAGTACTGTGCCCCCAGGACTCGTGACGGCTGGGCTCTGCTCGGTTTACAGTCAGTCACCTATGCCCAGCATGAGCGAGCCCTGGCACCGAGGGTCACTGGGCATGCCAACTGCAAGGGGAAGGACGGGAGACCCCCGCTCCCGTAGGATTTGCAGTTTCAGAAACTTCATCCCTGCAGTCACTGAGTCATGGCCCAGCAGGGGTGGGTTGGTTCTGTGTAACTCTATACTCTGTCCCGGGGGGAGGAGTTCGGGACTTCCTCTCTGGGGGTGCTCTGAAGACCCTTTTCTTGCCTTTGCCCTGAGGGTCATTACCCCCCCTCCCCATCCTCAGAGCCCTGTGGGCTGGGGAAGGGCCTGACCAACACGTGGCCAAGCAAAGGCCTGGTTGTGCTCTCGGGGCTGCAGGGACAAAGGGTGACTCGTGTCCCATCAGAACCTGGGCAAGGGGCTTCCCTGGGACACCACATTAACCAGGCCACCGCGGGTTCACAGTTAGGTTTATTGATCATTCCGTCTAACGTACACAAGCAGAACTGGATTAGAAGACAGAGTTACACATTGGGAAACCACATTGGCCTGGATTTTTCCAGCTTGATCTGTGAGCCCTGCGCCCGTGCCCACTTCTTGCTCCAAGATTGGACTCTGGCCCCAGGTTCTCATTGTCCATCTCCCAGGAGCTGCCCTGGAGGAGGGGTGCCCAGCATAGACTACAGGGGGAGGAGCTTCAGTGCCCTAGCTGGAAATGGGAGGGGAGGGTCTGCTGAGAGGTAGTGTCCCCTCTAGCTAGGGGACACCCTCTCTCCAAACTGGCAGGGAAGGGCTAGCCTCATACCCCTGGTGCTGTCAGCTCGGCATCTGCTGCCACCTGTCACCTGTCGCCTCCAGGTGTCTGACCTGTACTGCTGCTAGTCTGAAATCAGAGCTGACTTGTTGGGAATGGCGAGTCTGTGCTTCCACACCAGTCATTCTAAAGTAACCCCTGTCCCTCCCCCCAGCCCTGCTGCCGCCCTGCCAGCCCCTTGCCCCAGCTGCTGCTCACCCAGTCCTAGTGACCGGGGCTGCGCCTGGTCTCTGCCCGCCCCAGGCCCCCATCAGCCCAGAACAGGACGGTGTCGGACAGAGCAAGCTCTGGTCCCTCTGAAGACAGCAGAGCTCCCCGCACAGCCTGGGGGAGCAGACAGACGACCCCACGGCAGTACTGAGCCCACTGACTACAGGGCTTCTAGAAGACTCTCCAGTGCGCTGGGGGGAGGAGACATCATCCAGACTGGAAGGAAGGGCTGTTCCCAGGCCCCCAGGGT